TCTAATAACGTCAGTTAATATTTTGGTATTGGTGGATAAAGTATACACAATTATTATCTCATCATTTTTTTCAAAACAAAGATAAGATTGTTTAATTATTTAAAAAATCACGATATCTTTTATATTTAAAAACAAAATAAATTTTTAAAAAATATCTTATATGAATAGAAAGAATAAAAACTTATAAATACTATCTTTTTTAAATTATTAAAAACATTAAACATTCTTTCTCTCTTTCTCTTTCTCTCGTGGGTAATGGCTATATGATTAGTTTAGATTTAAAATATTGTCGGGCCCTATTATAGTTAATTTTTTTATAAATATTTTATGCATTCAAATAAACTCAAACTCAATCACTCATATTTAAATGGTCATGGTCCCTTCCGCTAAAATCAACAATATTTATTACAAAAACTTCTGTAATATTTTCAAAATAAATTAATTAATGGACCATTAGTGGAACGAAGAGAGAGCTGAAGATTCCTCTCGATGCAGCAGAAAAAAAGGGGAGTTGAAGATTCCAAACAATAAAAGGTTGGGAAAAAACCATGCAAGATGCAGGCAATGACGGATGTAGGAGGCAAGGGAGAAGCTACCTCCTCGGCGATACATGCAAGGTTGAATATATTAACAAGCGCAATATTCGGCCTAATCTAAAAATATATTTTTACTATAGAAATGTTTTAATGAGATAGATTTCAAAGATTTCTAGAATAAGCCTCACAGTTTTTTTTTTAATATTTTCAATTAAGCTCACAAAATTAGAAAAAACTCAAATTCACACATTTGTAGGTGTCAATCAACCACAAGGACTAAAAGAATGTTTGTGGTTGAAAAGTAAAAATTAAAAAGGGATGAACAAAAAGGATATGTGAACATATTTATAAAGATGAGGAGTAATTTAATTTATAAGTTGAGAACCATTATTCATGAGATTTTTTAAGAGGTGTGATGATTCTCATATTTATAATATATATTAATAAGTGTTATCATATTTATTAAAAAAAGGGTGATTTAATTTATTTTTTATTTCTTTCTAATAACCAAACAAAAACTTAGTATATTAATTATGTACAAAAGTGCTTAGACTACTATATCTAATTCAAATTACATACCACCTCACCAAAAAATCCAATGTACAGTGCATATAATATGCTCCCACTAGTGGATCTACGTATCTCCTAGGGTGGGCAGACGCATCTCTTGAGAATTTGCAAATTAAAGTGCTTATGTATTAGTTTTAGATCATGCTCGTTAATATCTATTCTCAACTTTGTTTGAAAGGAGAGAGAAAAGAGAGGAGAGAGAGAGAAAAGGAAACTCAAGGTTTGTTTAGTTCAAGAAAAGGGGAGGTGAGGGGAGGGAGGCTCCGCCCCAATTTAGGGGGAGGTTTTGAAGGAGAGTAAAAATTTCCCCTCCCCTCCACCAAACCAAAGGAGGGGAGGGGAGGCTCTCTCCTCCCTCCAACCAAACACATCCTCAAAGTGGGTGGGGTTAGTGGCGTGGGTGATTGACATCACATTGAGAAGATGAGGATATTTGACAAATAAAGTGATGGAGAGAATTTTTTTAATATTTTATTTTAATATTATTTTTGTTCAAATACTATTTTAAATTTGTGTTTCTTTAACATTTTAATTAATTAAATATATCCATTTTAAAATATGATTTACATTAAGGTGAAATTGTTATTAGAGTTTGAAAGAGTAATGATCACCGCTTAAACAATATAATCAAATCTATATAACGTGGAATTAAAATAAATTTTAAAAATTACTCTCAAGCTCTAGTTATGAAATATGTAATTTATATATAATTAAAAATTAATTTTGATAAAAAATAATTAATTAATATTTTGATAATATCCTGCCCCTTCTTGCTAAAAGTTATAGTTCTGCCACTCTATGCTCCCCCAACCTCCCCCAAAAAATTCTTACCCTAATAATACCATACTAGATTGGTTCACAGGGAGGAAAATGTGTTTGAAATTGACACATTATATGTGCAATACACTAGATTTTTTATTTTATAATAGAGAAGAATAAACTATGTAATAGTAAAAGTATCCTGCTACATCATTTGAATTAAGTCATAAGAAAAAATTCTAAAAAGATGAAACCAAACTGCGCATAATATGGTCTTATTTACAAGGACATCTGCTATATCACTAGCATCTCTAGAGAATCTTCAAACATGTACTTTCTCGTATGCAGTACACTAGATTTTGAATCCAAGTGTACTAAACTTTTGAGAGAATAAAAGGAGGGACCCTAACGTATAAACAAAAATCACCAAAAATTTTACAATAATATATTTTATTTTATAATCATATATGTCAATATGAGTTTTAAATAATACATTTTTGTATACAAATTGTCAATTTGGACAGACTAACTTGAAACAAACAAATTCAATGATGAGTGGCACTTATTTAAACTTATTCGATAAAATTCAAATGGGGCGAATGGTCTCAATATATAGACTGATTTGGCCCTAAAAAACCAGGCCAATGGGTTAGCTCCTTAACCCCTTTTTTTAATTTTGGGAACTAAGAGCATGGATTACAATCATACAATTTAATTAAATATAAGGTTCACACAAATTGTGTAATTCAAAATTATTTCCATAGGCTTGAGAGCAAATATTTACTTTTGTAGTATTAAAGGGTTCATCCTTAGTGTCATTTATAATTCGAATGAAAAATTTTTCAAGATTTGATTGGTTAATTAAATAACTAGTAGCTGTGTATAAAAGCAATCAAGTATGTGTTTCAAGTTGTAGGATGCACAAGTTAATAAAAAAGAACATGGATCTTGCTATTGACAACTCAAGCAATAATTACAATGTTGTAACACCTGGTGGCTTCACTTAGAATACCAAAGGTAATTGGATAAAAATGTTTCTCCAAATATCTTAATTATCATCTTAATATTGTTTTGCAATTCATGAGTATACTTGAAAGTCTCAACATATGCTAAAACGATAAATTTGCTAAAGTGAATATTTACTCCGACTCTCTAAAAGCTCTCATACTCACTTTATATAAGTTTTCTAACAAGCATCCACTTGCCCAAATCTTAAAGAAAATCAAATAACTTGTTACAGGGAATTGAATATTTATTTTATATCATGTGCACAAAAAAGTTGTGTTGATTTGCTAGTGCGCCAAACTTTTAAGCTTGCAACGTAAATTTAGATATTAAAATTTTTTATGATCTATTACTTGGGTGTGAAAAATTTTTATATCACGATATCGCTTAATTTGCTACTCTTCCATGCTAGTTTTTTCATGGCCTTCTGATAAAATCAAAAAAAAAAAAACACACACATGAATCCACATCTACTAGCATTTTATAGTTCGGATGAAAAAAATTTCATGATTTGATTGCTTAATTAAATAACTAGTAGCTACATATAAAAGCAATCAAGTGTGTGTTTTAAGTTGTAGGATACATGAATGGTTAAAAATTAACACGGATCTTGATACTAACAACTCAACCAATAACTACAATGTTATAGCATGTTGTGGCCTTTTCGTGATACTGAAGGCAATTGGATAAAAATGTATCTCTAAATATCTTAATTATCATCTTAGTACTGCTGCATAATTCATGAGCATCCTTGAAGGTCTCAACACATGTTGAAATGAAAAATTTGCCAGAAGAAACAAAAGCTTTCACATTCACTTTGTATATGTTTTCTAACAATATTCCATTTGCCCAAATCTTAAAGAAAATCAAGTAACTTGTCACAGGAATTTGATACTTACTTTAGATCACGTGCACAAAAAAGTTGTACTCCTTTAGTTTAAAAATATAAAATATCTTTAATCGAATTTTACTCTTCAATAAAATACTTACTTATTTTTTAACTAATTCTATCTTTTCATATTTATTCCTATTAACATCCTACAATAAATATAAACTCATTATTAATAAAGGCACTTTAAAAAATTAAAAATGCTTTACATTTTTAAACATTCAACGCTTTAAAAAATACTTTATATTTTTTAATAGAAGAAGTACTAATTTGCCGGTGCACCAAACTTTCAAACTTGCAACATCAATTTTTTTTTTGACCAAATCTTGCAACATCAATTTAGATATTAAAATTTTTATGATCCACCACTTGGGAACGGAAGCTTTTTATATTATGATATGGCCTAATTTGTTACTCTCCTATGCTAGTTTTTTTTGTCACCTTCTATTAAAAAAAAAAACACATGAATCCACATCTACTGGCATCGAAGTTAGCTCCATCAATGAACGCATGGGGTTTTGGTTCCAGATGTGGTGAAAGGACAGGCAAGGCAAGCCTTCATATGCAGAAATGATAGTGAAACATGCTTGCGCGTTGTGGATGGAAATGCATTGCAGGACCACGTTGTGTGTCTCCCCAACTAACTTTGGGGTTGTTGCCGCGATGGCTTGAATATTGCTGCAACTATTCATCAACCACACCAAACTATAGGTTTTTTTCTTTTTTCCCCTTTTAATGACCACCAAACTATAGTTATTTGCAATTTAAATAGGATTTTGTTTTTCACAAAATAATGAGCCCGTGGACTGAACATGCAGCCCATTTTTCTGCAAGCCAAATCAGAGTGACCCAAATAGCCGAAACCTCCTCTATCATCTTCAAGCCCGGTCCTGGAGCTTACCGAGTGATAGATCAACTCAAATTACCAAGTTTATGCGGGTGTGACCATTTTTGTTGAAGTTTAATTGGGAAAAAAGGGGTCTTAGATGATTATGGCCACAACTAGACGTTCACTATCTTTTTGCAGTATGCACGAGAAGAATCACCAAGGTGTATCGAAATTTAAACAACAACAACAACAACAACAACAACAACAAGCCTTTATCTCACTAAGTAAGATCGACAACATGAATTACAAGACGTCATTATGCTCTATCAGTGTATCAAAATTTAAAACTCACCAAAATCAATTACGGAAATTTATATATTAAAAGGCACCGTTAATAAATTATACAACTCACTGTCAATGAACCAGATGAAATTAAACTTATAAGGTGCATTGCCCAATGCTTGAATACCATTTTTTTTAAATATAAAACAGCAGTACGAACAATAAAATAAGTCGCAAGTTATTTAACAGCGGAATACTACTAGGTACCACCGCTCCCCATAGAAATTTAAAAGGAGGCCTAAGCTTTTCTAATTTGTTACTGATGATGCAGTCTGCAGTCGTGCGAGTCTACGAGAACTTTTCCTGCCTTTTGGTTTGAAACGCATAATTTAAGCTCAAGGTCTTCCCCAAGTTCCCAGGGATGGATCTAAGAGCTAATGAACGGCATGCCAACGCAAGATTTTCCCACTCAAAACATCCATGCATCGCTATTTCCATAAATCCTTCGGAATTGAAACTAGAAGCAACAGGAAGCCGAGTCTGCTTCCATTTTGGCGATACTTTACACCTCAAGAAGTCCATCTATGGTCTATGTATGATAAGATTTTACATTTCGCAGACAACCATACCCAAGAGCAACTCGTAAATAAGAGAACTTCAGCTGTTACAGTAAGTAGCCTAACAAGGGCTAGTAACATAGGACTGCTCCTCATATGTACTTCGGACTAAGCTCAGGTTTCAGATACCTATAAACTGCTGCCTCAAATACTGATAGTCCTCTATTACCAAATTGAGAAAGCGTAACACTGCCAGGCTAAATTACCTACAGTTGAGAGTGCCATAGAATTATAGGAAGCCATATTGCCCGCCTAAGATCTGGGGAGTCCATGCACCACGATAACCTAAGTAACAGAAATCAAATAACGACAACAAACCAGAAATTATCATCCTTTTCTGTGTGGAATTTGTACTGCATTAGCTCATAGGAAAACATTACCCTCGCATTAGTTTATATGCTCATATGCGCTGAGGCAATAACAAAGAAAGCATGTTATATAAACTAACAGATGGACCTGGCGATCCTGGCTGAATAAAGATGTGAAGCTAAGGATCCCCAGTGCAGAGATTAACCCTTGGTTTTGATGGAAAGAAAAAAAGAGAGGAAAGAATACTAAAAGGAACAAATCCCAAAATAGTTTAAAAAAAAAAAATCACTATTTTTGAAAGTTTTCTCTACGTATTCTCTCCTCCCTATTTTCATCTAATTTTTCCTCTCATCCAAACCAAGCCCAAATGTTTTGAAAATTATAGAACCTCGCAATGTTTCAACATGTGCTTCAGCCCCAGGTCCCAACCTTGTTAATCATTGAACCACAATTCCTAGATCCCAAGAGCAGCAGCTGCACCACCATAACCTATCCCCTAGTCCCAAACCAGCGTGGGAAAAGACATGCAGGTAACAGCTCCATATCATATAGCAGTACGAAGAGTAGCAAGAGGAGGCAGAGAAGAAAGCATAAGAGAGGAACTAAAATCAATAAGAATACAGCTGCCAATAGATTTTACTAAAAGATGGAAAAAAAGTTAGATTCTGGGGCTAATTGACATAGCAAACCTAGAGTAAATATAAATATTTAGAACACTACCAGATGATTGAACAACATAACTGTTAATCAGATGCAAGCTAAAAGTCAGGTGCATAAATGGCCAATGACGTTCCAATTCTTATTTACTCAGTTGCTTGTGCCCAGAAGTGGAAACAAGAAAAACATTGGAATCACGCTAAGGCTAGGAGACACTGAGGTTACTTTACCATCAAAACATAAGAATCCCTTCCATCTTAGCTGGTTATGCATTAGTCAAAGTTAGGAAACTAGAAATTAAATGACAGAATCCAGTTAAAACGTAAATCAGTATAAATATATCAATCAGGACTAAATCGACCAATTTATGAAAAGAAGTTCTGATAAAATGAGTTTCACATTGGGCAGTCACAAGTGATCCTTGTGGCACCTAGGTGGCATGATTCTTATCCTTTACATGTCACAAACGGTTGGTTCCCCATAAATGAATAGGTTTCCATCAAAATGCAACCAGAGTTTCTTCCCCTAACAGGTAAATGGCCATGGAAATCCATCCAAAGACAAAAGTGCAAAACATTAGGCACATATTACCGGAGATGTGTAACTTCTTAAGCCCCTAGTAGCATAATCAAAACCCAGGTCTAGCCCAAGCTGTCAAATAGTTTATAAAAAGCTATATACAATTTCCAGTTTCCTACTGTCATGTTCAACAAAATCTCTATTACATTATGTATGATCTGTACAACTTATTCAAAAAAGTATCAAATGAATCGTGTTAAGAAGGAACATAACTGTATTCCTCACTATCAGACATGTGTTTGTTTCTGAATTCCAATTTGTAACCACAAAAGAAAATAGTGATAAGGAACTATCCAACAATAAACAAAGTAGGACTAAAATGTACTGAACATAACCCTACTTTTTGGTGCATTTCAAATTTTTAATTCACAAAAATCACACTTTGCCTGTGTATGCTTACCAGTCCAGTTGCCAGGCAAAAAAATTTCACCATCACATGGAAGTAGGTAAGGCATCATAAAATCGGCTCAGATTCAGCCAGTGGCAGAGACAAGGGGACAAGTAGGGGCCATGGCCAACGCCCCCAGTGACTTTTCAAAGAATTTTAAATTATATATGTTTGTTAGAGGTTGCATTTTGAAGGAGCAGAGATATGCTTGTTAGAGGTTGCTGTTTAGTCAGCTCAAAAGGCATCTCAAGCTAGAAAATTAGTTCTGCATGTGATGATGGTCCTCTTAGTTTGAAGAAATCGGTGGAAGGTTTTACTGACATAGTTGGTCATATGAGAGACCAGGGTGATCAATCCTCCAATACCCACATTAGCATGTTTATAAGTTCAAATGCAATAAATCTCAAATGAAACTTGTAGAGAACTAGCTATCAAGGTATTGCCCGGGAACAACATCACGAGGACATAGAACTATGCAATACACCCCATCAAACTAACTAGAAGTTTAATACAGCTAGACGTTTACTTTAACAGACACTGAAACATAACCATGATAATGCAAGCTTCGGAATTGTCCATTATGTGTTCAAAATACTCATAAGAGACATAATCCTAGAATGATTACCAGAAGGACCAATTAAAATATTGTGAAGGTCATGAAGCATGTGCAAATCAATTTTTCTCCTCTCGTTCTCGATTCCATTGTTCGATCCTGGCTCGGCGTTCCTCACTCCCTTCCCTCACTGGGCTCCGACTCTTCCTTGGGCTTCCATGTCTTCGCCTACCACTGTCATGGTCGTACCTATCAGACCGGTCCTTGCTCCGTCGCCCGTTTCCACGATAATCACGGTCACGAGAACTTCTTTCGCGTCTATCATAGTCCCGCCTATGACGAGGGCTCGAACTTCTGCTCCGGCTTCTACTTCCTCGGTACCCCCGGTATCTCCCGAACAGCTTCCTCCTCAATTCCCTTCCAATCAATTTTACATGCATGAAATTGCAATATCCACCACGATTGCAATTGTTTTCCTCAAACTGTCGACAAGTGGCTTCCCGGAAATCAGTCACAGGTGAGAAATCAGCAATGATGGGTCGGCCGGAATAAAAGCGCCCTTGCAAAGCCTGTAATGCTGCAGCCGCCTGGTCCTCCTCCTTGAATTGGACATAGACGTTGCCGATCATGTGGTCGGCAAGATTATCGCAAACATTAAGACTCTCGATCTCACCAAATTTGCTGAGTTCTTCGAAAATATCCTCGTAGAAATCCTCGAAGTGTTCCTGGATCTTGCGTGGATCGATAGGTTGGCCTTGAGCATCGACACCGGGGGTAATCATGTCAGGGCGCTGGTACATGTTCGACAAAAGAAGGGTTGGCGAGATGGTCGGGCGATTGTGGAGTCGAGAACACCGATCGCCATGACGACAGGCGCCGATCTTGAAGTAGAAGGGGCAGTTGACGCGGTCCTTCTCAGTGCCGAAGATTGAAGCCAGGTGCTCAGCCATAGTCGATGACTTTCAACTATTTGGGATCTTGAAGAATGGCTTTCTTGGAGGGAATCGAGAAATTACAAAAATGATGTTGCGAAAGCTTTCTTCATCCCTGAAACCTGAAATTTTCTAGGGTTAAAACCCTAACTGGCAGAGAAGAAAATCCCAGAGTCCGAAACACTTGTGACTTTTGGGAAAACAAATCGGATGGCGGCAGCTGCTCGCAATGTTAATGCGGAACACGGCGACCCCGACACTCTGACGTACAACATCATATGGAACCTGCTATACATTTGTCAAAATGTAGTCTCCTTCTCTTCGATAAATTTCTTTTTTCATTATTTATTTATTATATTATATTTTTTTAATAAATTCGTGAAATATGATAAATAATAACTCACACGTTTGACATATTTATGTTATAGTTACCATGAGACATCTTTGTTGCGTCAAGTGCAAACTAAAATATTCATGTTATCCATACTTGTAAATGATATAACTCATTGTAATTATTAGTTTTTACAAACCTCCATTAAACAAGCCCCCGCCCCCATGTTTTACTTTACTTTTAAACTAATTAATAAAAATAAATTGCCAAATACTTTTCTATTTTAATAATCTCTATCGTCTTTTTTCAATCTTTTGTAATTAAAGTCACATTTGTTTTATTTACGGAGAACTTGGACAGCTTATAAAAGTACAGATGAAGAAGTTATATACGTCCTTTTGCCGTAATCCAATCTCAATCTAACTCCCACCCCCCCCCCCCCGGTTCTGCCAACCATTTTTGTGAAACTCTAACAGTCTTGTAAATTGTAATAAATATTATATCATGATCAACCTATATAATTAGGCCTTCTATTTATTGCTTATTTTTATCAGAATATTTTTATTATTTCAATACTGTTACCTGAATGAAATACTACATAAATTTATCTGACCATATTTTGTTGATGATAATGCAACGTATAAAACAACATATTGCACCAAGCATGAAAAGAGTGACAATTTTTCGGCTCCCCGAGGGGGGATGGCTCAGATAGCACGAGAAATACTACTGTAGGAGATATATTGGATTAATTAATTAATAATTAATTGATTATTTAATTTGACTGACTAGGACATAAATAACGTAGGGAACCAAACATGAGTAAGAATCTGCCATCTACGTTGCGCATTTTAGTCAAGTGTGTATGTTTGTCATTGAACTATACACATATTTATTAAGAGGCAAAAAACTTGTAACACTGTGCGAGAAGGGTTTCTAAATGCGGTGTCCCTTTTGCAATCTTCGTCTCTGGGCTCTTCGTGCTCATCGTCTGCAAAATAAAAATGAGCCTCTTTCAAAATCCATGCGATCCCCGTACTCGTCATCTCGCTTGCTCTCTGGCATCTTCGCAATCTTCGTCCTCTTTCTAATAACTAGAACTTCGTCCTCCTCTTTCTTTTTTCCTTAACCTCTCTTTCCAGTACTTGTCTTGTCTGTAATCTCTATTATACCATTATCAAGCCAGTGATCATATCTTTCCAAGCTCTCTAACCCATCTCTCTGTGTCATCTTTTCCCACCACCTACTCACTTTTACCTCTTCTTCATCCCCACCTCATCAAATCCTCAATTTTAGGGTTTTGTTTTTATTTTTCCTGTATTCAATTTTTTTTATATTCTTTCTCCGATAACTTTCCCTCGAGTATCTACCTTTTAGTCTTCATTTTATGCCCTTGGCCTGTTCATTTCACTACAGTTCTGTTCGATCTCTTCTTTTTCTTCCACCTTCCAGATTTTCTGAAACCCCTTGGATCCCCAGCACATTTCTTCCGCGTTTTCTCTGTTTTAGCATGTGGTTACGTGTCCAGCCACTCCTTCTTTACCTTTCTGCTTAGGGAATCTCTATCCTTAGCAATCTCTATACTGCTTCTCTATTTACTGCTTTCCTTTGTGTCATACATGGCATACCACCAGATCCAGGGTCACACGCCCACGCCTGGATCCAATTCAAGTTCTGGATTTCAACCAATAAGCTCCCCTTTTGGTGATACGACTTATACCAAAGTATTTGTTGGAGGATTGGCGTGGGAGACCCAGAGCGAAACCATGCGCCGATACTTTGAGCAGTTTGGCGACATTCTTGAAGCTGTTGTAATTACTGATAGGAATACAGGCCGATCCAAAGGCTATGGTTTTGTGAGTACTTCATTTATTTTCAGTTTAAGCGTTCGTTTTTCCTTGCGTTTCCAGTGCTTACATATATCTACTAGACGCATGAAATTTTGGCGATCCCATGTTTGATCTCAATTTTTCCTGATGCTTTCAATGCTCGTCATCATTTGCATCATTGCATGTGTTATTTCATTTAATCATTTCTTTATCAAGTTAGCGTGTCGTGATTAATGCTTGTCACCTCACTTACAAATAATGAAACACGCAAAAATATCTTCTAATTCACTCTAGAATGACTTGATTTCTATTCTGACTTGCATGGAGGGTATAGGTGACTTTCCGGGATCCTGAGGCTGCTAGAAGAGCCTGCGCTGATCCAACTCCTATCATTGATGGAAGGAAGGCCAATTGTAACCTGGCTTCACTTGGCCGACCATGGCCTCCTGTGCCATATGGTATACTTCCCACTGCCAATTAAAATACCTCTGCTTCATTTTCTTCCATTTATGTTATAATTGTTCAGTATGATGCTACGAATTGATTCTACGTGTCATTTAATGTTCTTAGGAGCAGTGTTCTTCTGGCACCGCACCATGGGCATAAATCAGGCAGATTTCATTGCATTTGTACCTTACCATTAATATGAAAGTTTGAACTCTCCAATTCTGTTTGCTATGCAAAATGCACAAATGCATTACCCGCTGCCCATGTATTTATGATTGGTGGTTTTTGTAGGCTGGACTTCTGTCATTGTTAATTTATTAATTTATTGTTATTTTGGACTTTGGAGGGTATTGAAATCCAACTTTTACATGGCTTTGTGCACTTTCTATTTGTGTTGTCCCTGTTTTTAGCAATTTTGTCTGTTATGCTTAAATAGTTACGCTAACCAGACAAGCATTGTTCTCTTTCATAATTTATGGCGTCTGTTAACTATGCAAGTAGTCTAGGCCACACCTTTTATATCAGTTACTTTTAGCCATTGGTGCTTCTTCTGTCTTCTATAGGACGGATAAGGCCAGCTGCTGCTTACATGGGAAATTTGCAACCAGCCCGAAATCCGTATGTTGGAAGTTTTGGCTATCAGCAGCCACCTTCTTACAACTATCAACAAGGATTGGTTTATCCTCATTATGGGTGAGTAGCACATCCTTTATTTTCAATGATCTTGGTTTTCTTGCCTTTCTTACATTTTATATGTCTTTGCTTGTCTGTCTGGTGTCTCCATTCCTTGATCTTCATATTTTGTTGTTATCTCTGATTGGACACGAGGCTGGCTACCATATGATGGTTCCGCTAAGGTTAACTGATCACATATCACTGCAAAAACTTGTTCACCCTCATTTTTCTCTTGTGGGGAAATCTCACAAACCAATCCTAACATGTAGCATCATTAAGGTCTTTCAGTCTTTGTGCAATATAAATATTTAGTGATTCCTTTAGAAGTTGGTGGACTTGGTCAAAGTATGGTTATGTGACGTGATTGGAAATTGCAGGAATGTAAATGTGATAGTTGCAGGACATATGTACTGCAGCACTTTATTATTGAGCTAGAAAGGGTAATGATAGAGAGGAAATGTAATAATAGAGAGGAATATCTGGAGAGATTGGGTAATAAGTTGTCTAGTATCACTCGAAACCTCAGCCTTGAATAAAGCAATTGTCTATTAACCTTTTCTTCAAATGCGTGGGTTGCTCCTATATTTGCAATCTGCATCGGAATGCATTGCACCAGGATCATGCTATAAAGGTGATCTTTTCAATGTTATGGTTCTTTTATTTTTGCAGGTATCCAACATATGGACCTGAATATGTATACCCACAGGTCTTTCTTTTATTTTTTTGGTTTTATCAGCCTTAGGAAGGATTTTTATTGTTTTTTTTATGTTGCTGACTTCCCTGCCTTTGGCATCTTTTCTGATAGGGTTTGTACAACCCATATACGGGCCAGCAATACGTTCAGATATATGGAGTGCCTGGTGCAGTGAATAATGCTATTTATCCTTATGGGCAGTTAGGTCAAGCTATTCCCAGTAGTCATGGTTATGCAGGAATGCAGGGCTATGCTGTAACTGGTCATCACATTGTGCCTTATGGTGGAACCAATGTTAATGCCCTGACTACTTCACCTATGCCTACCATTCAAGTACCATATCCCAGTGGTATACTAGTCTGACTTGAAGACTTGTTGCGTGGATTAGGTCCTCCGTTTCTGTTGCTATTTGAACCTGGATGTTACTTTGACATGGCTCTCTTTAATTCATGCTATTTTGATTTCTTGCATGCTTGTTGAATTGGTGGATTTTTTAATGAGAAATGCAAGCTCCTAGATCTGAGAATCTGAGAATTAAGTCTCTGCGGGAAACACTTCAGCTGACGACAGTATGTTTAAACTAGTGATAATATGTGAAGAATTTAGGTTTCTTAGCTGTTGTTACGTCATCCATGGATGGGTGAACAAATTGAAGCATTGCAAAGGTAGGTAATGCTAGTAACCAGACCCAGGTGGTCATGTCAGAGCAAGGATATGGTAGTCTTCTGACAAAAATCAAAATGTAGGAGTTTTTTATGGTAGTGGCAAATTGACTGATACTTGTTATCGTTATGACCTTATCAAGAAATAGGCATCTAAATACTCTTTCTGCATCTTTGTATCATCGATGAGAAACAGTTAACAAGTTAAGTGCTATGCAGATCAATGTGATTGGTATACATATTGGTTTTTCCAGGAATTGCTGCACCAGTTCCCGGACAACCACAATTTATTGTCCCTGCGCCTTCTCAGTTTATGCAAGGTACTGGTCCTGACCAAGCAGCTGGGTGAGGGGGCGATTAAGGTGGGTTCTTTACCTTGCATCTTTGTTGATGTCTTCGCTTTTGGGGTTGAGCTTATGTTTGGATTGTTCTTTGTTATAGGTATCCTTAGTTTGCAGCAGGACTAAGAGCAGTGGATCTGCTACGTGTGTGGCGGGCTTCCAATCTAGCCTTGCAAGTTATATATATTGCATTCTAGAGGTACAGTTGTCTTATTTCCTGTCTTTTACAAATTAAAGGCAAACTTATCTGCATTGGTATTTATTTTTAGCAAAAAGGATAATAAATTAGGTGATGGGGAGTTGCATTATTTCTGAATTCCAACTATTGAAGGTTTGACGCTTACAGTTTTTTTTCCCCATCAGAGTTTTGATGCGTATGGTTCAAGATTGTCAAAAGTGGATTATATGTCATATAAATTTGTTATAAGACTTAGCTCTTACTGAATCTTAATGTGCAGGTTATATTTAGTCATGCTCACCATCTAGTTGGGTCGGAGTTTCTCCGGGCGCAGAAGGAAACTGGAAGATGCTGGCTGCGTTTCCATTTGGACATTTATATAGTGTATTTATACAATTATACCCCATGCTACAAGCGCTCAGGAAGAGTGGCAGTAGTATTGGATCAATGGGTGCTGGAAAGGGTTTCCAGCGGCCATGTAGAAATGTGATTTTTTTTTAGTCTTGTCCTGTGTTGAGTTTGTAGATAGTTGTCAATGTTTATTAACTGTGTGATAAAGGATGGTCAATTTCACTGAATACGATTTTTGTGTATATAGTAGTTGCTAGAATATCTGCCAGAAATTTGGGGTCCAATTATGATTTGTAAGAATCTGTCTTAAAATTAGGGTAGCATGATCGGGAATTTTCAACAGAGAAGATTGATTTGGTTTCTCATGCAGGTGTAATAGTATGGTGCCTAGTTACAGAGCTAGGTTTAGACAGTAGAAGTGCCGGAAAGGAAGTCGGGTATAATAAATTGCATTTTCAACGTGATTTAGGCAAATTTGATTTGGAATGTGCATTTTGTTTTGTTAAAAATGGTCATGGGAAGGGGGCTCTTCGTTAAAAGAACTCTAGTTTTAAATTAGACCTTTTTATTTTTGGGGTATATTGATGAAATCTGAAAATACAGTTGTATTAATTTATACTAATGATTGTGTAAAATAACAGAAAGAATCACAAATCTTGATTGTTTGTATGCATTTTTTCTTTCCGCGCATGATTTTGTTGTTTGTATATAATTATTTGAGATTTCAGTGATTGATTTGAATTTGTATTGTTTGAACTAAGTTAAATTTTAATTAATTATGGCAAAAAAATTTAAGTTTAAATTGGATAATAAAGTCAATTGCATGAGTTTACTATTGTTGGCCGAATAAACATTTTTATAATCATATTAATGTATCGTGGACATGACGAGTTATTTGGTGCAGCGTGTAGAGGTTTGCGTCTAATTCTAATTCAGTATAAAATGCACGACTTATAAAAACTTATTATTTGTAAGTCATAATAGTATTTAAAAAAATACATAATTTTTCTCATTGTATAATTTTATAATATTTCACATAATTTGTTTGATGGGGTGCAAGTTTTTTGATACTTTTCTATACACCTTAGAATAATTTAAGCAAATCATCAATGTTCAATCTGAAGTACTGTAAAATTTTATAACTATTAGTATAAAGTAATGGCAGAATTACACAAATCTTGATTGGATTGTATTCAATTATTTTTTACTTGCATGATTTTGATATTTATGTTTACTTATTTGAGTGCTTGATTTGAGTTTTATTATTTGACGATAAATTTTAATCTAGCAATAAAAATGTCAAATTTAACTTGGATAAAGTTGATAATATGAGTATAATATTGCTGGCCAGGGAAAACAGCACTGAAAGACCACTGTCGATGACCAATTGACTTAAAAACTACAGCACAATTTTTTGGTTATTAACTAATGTTAATTTATTATATCAAAAGGCAAAATTGTCTTTGAAGTTTTTTTTTTTTTTTTAAAGAAAAGCAATCCCCATTATCGCTAGTCGTCGGACCCCCTGCCAACAGTGTGGTCGCTGGAACTCCTATTGTCGATGAGGTTGCCAGCAGCTGGCCTTCGAAGCTCTAATGCAGGCAATGTTTTTTTGAAAGAATATTTGGTTTATGTAGCCAAAAAAGGGATTAATTTCATGACCTTTTAATTACATATGGCCAAAAAAAAAATAAGCAATAAACTAAATTTTTAACCACTTTCATGTTATAATATATAATAGTGTATTATTCATTCTCAAATGGTTTTTGTTATTTTACTAATGTTACTTAAAAATTTGATATGGACAATTACAAATTAAAAATTTTAAAACTTTATGTATTTTATTTGTTAAAAATTCAAATGTATTGTTAATCAAAAATAGATGTTGTCGAGACTCGAATGGATATTTGTTAATGAACAACAAACACGTATAATTAAGCACATTTTATTAATTTTTTTAAATTGTTAAAACCCAAATAGATTATTGTTAATTTCTAATAAATTATTATGAAGACCTAAATATATATACTTGTTGATAAATGACTGATATATATACAATTAAGTCCATCTTAGTCATTTTTTTATCTTGTTAAAACCGAAATAAACTGTTGTTAATGTAGAATGAGTTATTATTAAAACTTGAATATACACTTGTTGACAATAGACTAGCACATACAAGTATGTCCATCCTATATGTTTTTCTAGTCATTAAAACTTGAATGACTATTATTAATTTGAAATGAATTGTTGTTAAAACAAAATAAAAACTTATTGATAAAAGATTAATACATATAATTATGCTCATCCTTTTATGTTTTTCTGGTTTGTTAAATTTGAATGGATTGTTATTTATTTAGAATAAGTTGTTGTTGAAACCATAATAGAGACTTGTTAATGAAAAACTATTATGTATGCCCATCTTATATGTTTTTCTACCTATTTAAAGCCTTAATGGACTGTTTTTAATTTAAAATGAGTTATTGTTAAAATCTCAATTAGATACTTGTTGATCATAATTGTATATGTCAATCTTCTATCGACAAATATCCATTTGAATTTTAACAACAATTTATTCTAAATTAATAACAGTCTATTCAAGCTTTAACAAGCTAAAAAAACATATAGGATAAATATAATTGTATGTGTTAATTTTCATCACTAGTATCTATTCTAGTTTTAACAATAACTTATCATAAATTAACAACAGTTCATTCAAGCTTAACAAACTAAAAAAACATATAGAATGAATATAATTGTACGTGTTAGTCTTTTATCAATAATAGTCTATTTAAATTTTACCAACAACTCATTCTATATCGACAATAGTCCATTCGGCTTTAGCAAGCTAGAAAAATGGTTAATACAGGTTTAATTGTATAAGTGTTGATTCTTTATCGATAAGTATACATTTAAGTTTTCACAACAATTCATTAAAAATTAACCATAATTTGTTTGAGTTTTAACTAGTGAAAAAAACTAATAGGATAGGTTTAATCATATCTGTTAGTCCTTCATCAACAAATATCAGTTCAAATTTTGACAATAACTTATTTTTAATTAACAATAATACATTCAGACTTTTAATAAGTAAATATATAAAATTTTAAAACTCTCAATTTGTAATTATTCATGTCAAATTAATAAATAATATTAATAAAATGATAAATGCTGTTCAGAAATAATAACACACCATTATGTTATAATATGGATTGGTTAAAAGCTTGATTTACTATTTATATATATTTTTTGCTACACATAATTAAAAAGCTTGCCTTTTAAGTGGCTAAGGGTTTTGGGATCAAACTTTCTCTTGATTGTCTAAACCAAATATTCCTTAAAAAAAATGTTGCCTGTGTCGAACCTTCGATGGCCAGCTGCCAATGACCTTATTGGTGGTAGGGACTCTGGTGGCCCCTTGCTGGCTACAGTGGATTTTTTTTTTTATTTTAGAGGCAATTTCATCTGTTGACATAACAAATTAATATCAAGCAAAGAGTGAGAGACTGTAGTGTAGTTTTTAAATTAATTAATATTGCTAGTGATCCTTTAATGCTACTTTCCCAAATTTTTATGATTATATTATTGTGTCATAGGATTTTACATATTAATATTTTTTTTATTGTAAGGGATAGATTTGCATTCTAATTCTATCTCAAAATAAAACGCAGGACTTGCAAAATACCATTTGTGAGTTATAGTAGTTATTTTAAATTTCATATTCTTATGATATTTCTCACATTTTTTTGTACATAGTAACGATTAAGATGTCTTCTTTGAAAAAACTATAGATTAATCTTTTTCAAAGTGTAAATTGTAAAAGTGAGCGTTGTCTCTTTTAACAAGATTATTTTCATATTCACATCGAGACATCAAACCTCAATGCTAAAATTATTTTCCATCCTTTCTATCATGTTTAACATAATTTGATAATAATAAAGCAATGTCGATATAAAATGTAAAATTTATGCACTATTTAGAAACCATCAGAGTAAATTATAGTCATGGCCATAAAGAATATCAGAGAAACCATCAGTATAAAATCTATATGAAGGGAGAATATTTATGGGTCTTAATGCCATTTTTGAATTTTGCATAACTTAAAAATAAAAAATAAAAAAAGAACTCAGGGATGGCTATAGAATATAGAGAGAGGGATCCTTTCGTTGCCGCTGTATCATGGCGGCCAAGTTATCGGCTGATAGTGTTGAAACGCCTCCGCCTAAACAAGTTCCGCCCGAGGCCTCATTCGCCGATTCCAGAGACGGTAGCCGCACTGCCTCGGCGTCGGTTTCGGCCTCTCCCGAGGTTAACGTAATCCATGTGCCCAGCCACTCCAGCTAAGCTCCTCTTTCACATCATATGGGAAAATCCTAAATCTTTGAGGGGGGGGAATTCTGTGAAGAGATTATTTATAGGGTTGTAATTTTCCTTTGCACAGGTTGGTTTACATGGAATGGCATACATGAATGCGAAGTTCGGCATCTCCCTGAGTTCTTCGATTCTGCTTCGCCATCCAAGAATCCTAGGGTTTACAAGTACTACAGGAATTCCATTGTCAAGCATTTCAGGGATAATCCCACTAGAAAGATTACCTTCACCGATGTCAGGAAAACTCTTGTGGGGGATGTTGGTTCCATCCGTAGAGTCTTTGATTTCCTGGAGGCATGGGGCTTGATCAATTATCAGCCATCCTCGGCGGTCACAAAACCCCTGAAGTGGGAGGACAAGGAGACCAAGCCCGAAGCTGGGTCTAATTCGAACGAATCATCAACTCCAATTCGAGAGACTTCCAGGAGAGTCTGCAGTGGTTGCAAAGCTGTCTGTACCATTGCTTGCTTTGCTTGCGATAAGGTGACGATTTTATTTTATTTTTTTTTTTGAACCCGCAGAAACGTATTTTGAATTTTTACTTACTACTCCAATGCTTATTGCAAGATTTCTCGATTTTATCTCGGATTCTGAATGCCAGTTTCTGCAGTGCATATGTAATGCAACTAAAAAACATTTTATTAGTTATGGGCAGATATGAGCCATTCAATCTTTGAATCTGATCCTAGCTATCTATTTTCTTTGAGTTTGATTTCAGCTTCTGCTCCATTTTTCCACGGGTTTCATTTTTTCTTACAGGCCCCTAGATCGACTTAAATGTTGAATGGTTCATATGTGTCCATGATTAATAAGATAACGCATTTTTTTGTTGTTGCATTAGACATATAACGTGAGAAAGTTGCATTAGACATTTATAATCCGTTTTGTTTCTTTTCTGCTAGTATTTATTGTTTGTACTGTCTTTTCTCAAAGAGTTAAATACCTTGTCACTTTTGCCCCCCAGTTGGCTTCCTCTTCTTACTTATAGTCATTGACTTGTGTCGATGGACTGGGGTGGAGAAAGAACCAATATATGGTTCGTATGTATTAAAAGTATGTGGAGTGGATTGGGTTAGGGTGAGTTTCCAAATCATTCCATCTCACTTCATAATATTACTCTTATGTTGATGCTTCAATGGTTCATACTTCATGATCTAGTCTCTAGCAATGGGCAACCATTAATTTTCATGTTCTCTTTGTTCCCCAGTATGACTTGACTCTCTGTGCAAGATGTTATGTCCGTGGCAATTATCGAGTTGGTGTGAGCTCTTCAGATTTCAGGCGAGTAGAGATCAGTGAAGAGACCAAGACAGATTGGACAGACAAGGAAACTTTGCATCTTCTGGAGGCCATTATGCATTATGGTGATGACTGGAGGAGGGTTGCTCAGCATGTTGGTGGTCGGACTGAGAAGGATTGCATTGCCCATTTTATCAAGCTTCCATTTGGGGAGGAATTTCTAAATCAATATTCTGGTGTTAGTGATGACAAAGGTAATCAATTAAAGGGACCTGTAGATGCTGACAGCGGACTGGAAAGTATTGGTGCAGCAGAACCAAGTAAAAGAATGCGTCTAACACCTCTTGCAGATACAAGCAACCCTATAATGGCACAGGTACTTTTCATGGTTCAGGTCAAAGTTAAATTTCAGAAGCAATTGCAGAGTTTATGTAACAAAAAATGAAAATTGAGATTCAGATAGGACCTTATAGTTTGCTTGTACTGCGTGCTTTTTAAAAAATGCCAAATTAAGAAAAGAGTTGGACATTTGTCCTTTATGTTTCATACTTCATTTGGGAGGAAAGGTTTCTTTTGAGAATTGCTAGTGCTTGCCTGTACTTTTGAAATCCTCAAAATCTGAATATATGAGTAGCTAAAAATAATATCTTGTTCCATGGCTAGGAGAGAGAGGGAGAAGGTTGGTTCTATACAGTACCTACAAAGAGATTTGGGGTGGGTCTCTTTGTGGCTTGGACATTTTAAATAACTTTATGTGGTTGTAAATCATTTTTTCTCCTAAAACTTGTTTTCATTGATGATTTATGAATAACATAGAGCAGATTGGAATATGCACCAGGAAAGAGTGCTTACTTGGTGGTTCAGCTGATGCCCCTGTTGTTGCGTTCATTTCTATTTGTGAGGGTTTGACTTGTGATCTAATCTCAAAATACTAATTCATAGAATCATAGAAGTAGTATCAATCTCATAGTTTTAGTGCTGAGTGCTGAAATTGGAGAGAGTCATGGTTTAGCATCTAACAGTTTTCATGATCTTGAAGAATGATCTCTAAATTTGAATTCCCTCTGTTTATGATCAAGGAAATCATTATAAAAAAGAATTGCTTTATCTTCAACAACTGTAGTACATTTAAAATTCTTGCAGGCTGCTTTCCTATCTGCTTTAGTGGGGGCAGAGGTTGCACAGGCTGCTGCTCGAGCTGCAGTGAGAACTCTGTCTGAGGTTTACAAAACAGCTAGAATAAAATATCAGTCATTTCCAAGGAATATGCTATTGCAAGGTGAGAATGATAAATATCTAGGCTGAAGATTATGAGGTTTGAAAATAATGGTACTGCCATCAGTATTGATGAGGTTTATCTGGAATTTGATCATTCAATTTACAAGAGGCTTGTTTCTATAACGTGTTGTTCAGCTGATCTTTTCCAAACCTCTACATGGTGCACTGAAATCATGTGATAGCATTCTATGCTGCACTCGTCACTCACAAGAGTGGGAAATGTAGTCCTGCAAACTAAATTTTCAGGAAAATGGTGGGTTATTTTTGTGCAGATACTGATAAGGCAGTTAATGGGGGCACTGCGTCTGATTCGTTTGAATGGACTCGGTTGCAAGCAAATGCACAGCTTGAGAAGGAGGAATCGGATTTGGAAAAAGCAATTTCTGTGATTATAAATGTTCAGGTTCGTATGGATGTTTACACTTAGATACTTTATTAATCCATGTCTGAGTTAGTGCAGACAGATATATATATATATATATATATATTTGGCCAAAGTGCAGACAGGTATATGATATTAAGGTTTTTGGAAATTTAGAATTCTCTACTAAATATTGGATATTCTGCAGATGAAGAATATCCATGACAAGCTTGTTCGTTTTGAAGATTTAGACCTGCTGTTGGAGAAAGAAGGCCAACAGTTGGAGCAAATGAAGAATATACTTTACGTTGATAAGCTTACACTTCTATTTCATAGACGGTCGAAGCCAAAAACTGGAGAGCACACGGAAGAGGATAATATTAACTAAGGTTGATGACTAGTCTTAGTTTCTTACCTATTTTAGGTTTCTTCTCAACTATCCTGTACTTTTAGTTTGCTCAGGCGCTGCACACATCTGACTTCCCCCTGTAGTATGTAAATGTGACTGGCAAAATGGATTTGAGTAGTCCAGGGACGTCTCTCTCACTAACATTGACCTAAAATTTGGATATCCTGTAGGGGATTTTTCCAGGGTATTCATCTTTTGTTCTGAGAAAGGATATCAGGAAGTGAGCAAAGGAGGTGATTTTGTTTTCCGCATGCTGCAAAGAGGCAATAGATAGTATTAGAATGTGACCAACAAACGTTTTCATATTGACTCGAAGCAGGGTTATACAAATGGTATCACAAAGCGCAAATTGACTACACAGTTTCTTCCGTGGAAACAATAAGCGCCGTACGTAGAGATAGGCGGTGGCAAAAACAAGGTTTGAGAAAAGCTATAAATCAGTTCTCTGGGTAAACAAGGGCTTATACCATGTAGGGTGCTTGTGGTTCGAGCAATTTCTTTCTTTCAATGTCCATGCCATAGAAAAGGACGAAACCGAAGGTTTGCATGTGGTGGCCTTGCCCATTCACTGTATCTTGTTACCATGGTTGGAAACAATAGGCCAAACAAAGTTTATTTGCTTGACCTAATACCAGCAACGCGTAGGCTGGATCAAACAACCCGACGATATCTTAATGTAGATGAAATCGGCAGTAGCCCGTTTTAAAAGTTTACAGTGTAGACGAATTTGTAACACTTGCAAAGATATGTTCACTAGATATTATGAAAATACTTGATTTTATTAAAATTATGTTTAAAATTTTTAAATGATCAATCTCTTTATAATTTAATTGTCTACCCTCCCATATAATGAGTTATATACAAAATTCTTAATATTTAAATAAATGTTTTTATAAAAATATTAAAATAAAAAATTTTAAAAATAAAATAAAAGTAAATTATATTGATTAATTCATTCTTCACATATTAAATTCTTAATTCATTACATTTTTTAACATACGCATTTACAGCATCATTTTAAACAAGTTATATAATTAAGCGAAAATTTTTGCGTGAGGTACACCTGACAAAACTGAATAAAAGTTAGACGTGACGAGATCCATCTTATTTTGAATCAAAATAATTAATTTTCCTCTTGTTTTCAGCCTTCCTTTATGTTCATGCATGGCCTCCCGCTAGAAAGATCAACAAGTAAATTCCCTTGTAGTAGCAAGAGTTTATCATTGAGGGCATAGAAGGGATATCCAAGCTACTTTGTGCCTTCTGTGGTTTGCTGCTGTGTTTCAAACTTCAAAACACGTGCCAGAGCTGGCACCCGGGAAAAAAAAAAAAAGGACCCCCAAGCTCATTTCCTTGCTTTCTACCACAGAAAACACGACGAACAGAAGTAGAATCCAAAGCTTATTTCCTTGCTCTCTTCAACAGAAAACGCAACGAAAAGAAGCCAAGGGCGAAAGTTTGCCAGAACCAACCATTTGCATTCGCGGGGTCCACCCTTTTGGCCAGGTTCCAAGCATACAAGGCCTCCAAAACATGCGCAAATGCGGATAGATAAAACACCAGCTTCGCGCACCACATTGACCGAAGTATGAAAACGCTGAGGGATCTGAGATGTGGCACAAATCCTACGTCAGGCAAGCACACAGCACAAAATAGTGAGACCATTCCAGTGACAACAAGTAGCCATGTGTAGATTGTAGGCCCATCCATAGATATCCTTTTCCTCTCTTGCCAGTAAGATATGGTTGAAGCCATCCCCTCTGGAGGAGTCACAATGGGAACATAACCAATTTCCTCCTTGGCTTTAAGGTAAGAGAAATAATGGGTAACCCCCACCTGTCAGAGCACAACACGAAAGAGTAAATAATGTAAAATTTGAATGCTCTGCAAATCATGATAAGTTATTCTGCGCATCTTCATCTACAATTGACAACAGTTCGTGACAACGATTTCAAGAGAAATGCTATCCATGGAAGAAACCCACCTTGTGTACTTCAGAGGGAAGTATAAATGGCTGAGGAAGCCACCACCGATTCAGCCATGGGTATAAGATTGTATAGACTCCCCAAAAAAACCTTGCAAGAAAAAGAGCATGATTGACAGCTAAGGAAGTCCTTGGTAGTTCATAACCCAAACTTCTAACTAGAGGCTGGATGAATTCAAAGCTATTGACCGGAGAACCTGTACAAAGCAGTGTCAACTGTTGTTCCGGTATACTGTCATGGATACATTAAATAAAGAAAATATTACCATCAGATATAAAGTATGCCTGGCCAGCAGCGATAGGGTGTTTTCCTTGCCTAGGATCACCGTCCAAAAGTCCCATACTTGCCAGTATAAGAGCAAGTACAAGATTATCCACATAAACCCAGTCTGACTTAACACTAGGGTCACCAATTCTGAACAAGAACAGACCCAACTTTGACATGGCTATGATCCTCGGAAGGTGCCTTTCTTCGCCCGGTCCATAAATAGCAGCTGGACGTACGGCACAAGTGTAAAAATTCCCATTACCATTCCTTCACAAGATTAAAAGTTATCAACTCAGTCGATAATACAGTAACCATTAGTTGGAAGGAATTGAAAACAATGGCCAAAATCATCATTCAATTTGTTCATACCAGAAAGAAGTATGACTACAGCAGCATCAAAATTCATGACCTAGTTTTTTCAACCATTTTTTAAGTACAAGAGATTCTGCTGCCTTCTAACACAAGGAAACTGCCAGCAGACACAATGAGATAGCTGGTGAGCGAAAACTTACTTAAAAGGGCGGCCATTGTTCTTTAGAACCAGCTGTTCAGCAATTGATTTACTGCGCCCATATGGATCAGCATGGTCATCGATTGGGAAATATGGCAAAGTCTCGTTTCCGTTGATAATCTCCTTACCGCCAAAGACAACATTGTATGTGCTAACATAGACAAGCCTTTTGATGCCATGGAGAAGGCAAGCGTCCAAAACATGGCAAGTCCCATTAATATTGACATCATCAACACGACCAAATTGGAGCATCTCTTTTCCTGACATACCAAAGGAGGCAAGGTGGAACACACAATCCGCCCCACGCAGGGCACTTTCAACATCTTCTTTTCGGGTGACATCCCCTGATAATTATAATTAAATATATTATATATATTTACATGTAATTACTAGAAGTGAATGGATAAAGGAAAGGGCTTATCATGACCGCTTAGAACAACGATGTTGACGTAACAATAAGCAGGCAAAACAATGACGCAAGTGAAAGTGAATGATACATTGCCATAAACACAGAGAAAAATGGCAAACATAGGGATATGATTATGACTTATGAGCGAGTTCAGGTGAGCGTGAATGAAATAGGAATAGACTAAAAAGAGAAATCGAAACCCTAAGAGAAGAACAAGAATGTGAATGGAATCGAGGAAAGGAAAAGTAAGAAGAGGAACCTTGAATGCAGATGACTCCTTTACGATCGAGAAGATTGGACCAAGCAGAAGATTGTCGGAGATCAAAGGCTTGGACCTGGCGAGCACCTCTTCGGACAAGCTCTAAGCATAGAGCAGAGCCGATGAATCCGAGTCCACCGGTAACTACGAACTTCTTGTCCTCTATGCCTTCATTCTCGCTTAAATGCATCCTCTCTTCCCGATCTCTTCTCTTTTCCTCCTTCAGATTCAGAATAGCCTTTGGACCTGCCTCAGCCTCGTCAGCTCGTCGAAATGAATTGTATCGCCCCGAATTAATCATGGATAATAAAATCTCTCTCTCTCTTTATATATATATAATATATATATATATAACTTTTACTCCCTTAAATCTAATTTAATTATTAATGTCAATCTTTAAGATTTATTAATTATTAATTATTAATTATATTCTTAAAGTTTCGTGGCGATACACAATTAGTTTTATGAGTATTATTGTTTCTATAAATTCATAGAGGCCAATTATATATGATTGTTAAAATTTAAGAACTTAATTAAAAAATATGAGGATTAAAAATAAAATTCAATAAAATTATAAACATATATGATTGTGTTTTTCTTTAAAAAAAAAAAATGCCCACCCGCCCTTCAACGGCGTAACTGTTTGGTTACTCGGAAAACCAATTCCGCCGGTGTCTTGACAAAATAGTACATGATATTTATCATAGACTCATAGATGTTATTATTAACAGTTTGTCACTCCTACCTTGACATGTATATAATATTTCGCAGATAATTTATCTAATAATCACTAGTTCTTCTAAATACTCGTTAGACAATGTTGGCAAAAAAAAAAACTGTTGGACAAATTAAAAATAATAATTAATCGTCTATTTTATTCTAAAAATTTTGGAAGTCCCTAATTCCTATCTCAATCTATTTCATGGGCACAGTGGACTACATCAATATTCCTATCTCAATCCAAAATTTGTCAATCACAGTAGTATCATGCTGAACTATTATATATTACCTTGTGAATATTTACAAGCTATTATCTATTATATGATCTGAGCAGTCTGGAACTCTCATCTCTTTATACATACATACATACATACATATATATATATATATATATATAATATTGATGAAAACGGTTTTTCTTTTGTACTGGGCTCGCAGTACTCTTGTATGAATTTTTGGACCTACCTGATCCGACGTAATGGGATACAGTGAGGTTTTTTTTGCCCCAATGAAAAACATTTAAATTATGAATCTTGAAATGGACATGGGATTTCACGGGAGATAGAGGATTCCATGAGTGGTTTTTTTTTTTGGTCACCCACCTAACAAAATTTTACTGTTCATCTTAAACAATTGGTTTGAGAATTCAGTTGCCTAACATTTTACTTTTTATCATTTATAAGTATTTTTTTATTGAAAATAATTATATTCAAAATACTATTAACCATTAAATGCCAATATCTCTTTTAATAAAGATTTAAATATCGATTCACGATGTTGTGAGGTACTAACTTATTTTGCTTGATCCAATTTTTGCTTTTATAGTTATAGTCAAGAAAATGGCCATTCTGAGCCATATAAGAAGTTGTGCTGGTGATATTCCACATACCCCATGGCTGAAAATCATCATGATTGGGAAGTCTGCATTGGTGGGTGAGCAGTTCCTAGAATTACGGTTTCTTAAGTGATTGATAACAATTACTTAATGTGTGTTTGTGTGTGAAAGCCAAGAGTTGGCCCAAAACAAAAAGAAGACCGAAATGTCAAAGAGAAGGAATGAACTGCTTTTATGTCGGAGCTTCTGTGAGGAGTAGTACAACGAGTGTAAAGGCTGCGAATAATTAAAAGAGAGAATCATATTTAAGAATTACTTAAAAAAATTATTTACAAACAAAAAAAAAAAGTCACGTTTTTATTTTAACAGCAATCCATTTTGTATTAATCATTATTATAAATAATTTTTTTGAGTGATCGTTGGATGTAATTCTTCACAATTAAAACTATATTAATTCGCTGACAAAAAGTATATGTGATTACTGTAACTAAGGAGTAATAACAACATAGACCATCCTGGAATTAAACTATAGAAGAGAATAAATGAAATTGGATTTTGGGGTAAGAAAAGAGAAGGGGAAAAAGGAGAAGAAGAACTAGAAGAAGTTGAAAGAGTGGAAAGAGAAGGAAGCATAAGAGGCACAAGTATAAGCGTCAAGAAGATCGTTCTGAGGAGACCAGAAATCAGCCTTGAGACCTCCTCTCCTCACTGCCTTCAGAATCTTGTTCTTGTGTGCATATCCCGTTACCACCACCTTCTGTCTCTTTCCGTCCACTTCCACTTTCTCTATCCCTGCACCTCCAAATATTATTCCATCTTAACCCTATTCATATATCTAATAACATCTATACCATAAAAATATCTATACAATACTAAAAATTTAAAATTTGGAGGGCCGATGAGGCCCAAAAAGTAGATTGGATTATAAGCTCACACTTAATTTGCATGAAATTTGTGGAAAGTAATACTCGCGTGTTATGGTTTTATCATTATATATATCAAACAAGTTAGACTATGCAGAGTAGTGATGCTGAACCTTTTAGTTTTGATAGGCATTTCCTTAGTCTTTTCTCGTGGATCCCTACCATCTCTACCTTCAACTCCACGCTCTGCAAGTAGAAATTATTATATCATGATGATGCCGCCTTTTGATGAATTCTGTGAAGACATACTCGACAACCTTAACTGGATCGAAATAATGTACTTACCTCCATGGAAACTTCAGAAAGACAGATCACAGTGATGAGCAGCTGCTATAAAGTGAAGAAGAAGCAATGATGCGGAGTTATGAGACACACAGGGTAACTGACGGGCAATGTATTATATAATAATCAAGAACCAAAAACCTAACAGATATAAAGTAGGTGTGTGTCTTGGGTTTTGAATTGAAGTGTAGTTGAACGGACAGCAAAACAAAACCTCGAGCTTTTTTCAAAGGAACTAGGCCTATGATTAACGACACTACTGGGAAAAGAAGAGTTCAAGTTCAGGATTATTTGAAGCTCCCACTCCGAGGCTCCAACTCTGCACAAAGGGCAAGGAAATTATAGTTGGGAGAATTTGAAATGATTGGGTTTGACGGGTCCAACTTGGCTTTTCTTTCTTTTGGGACGATGCTGGGACCCTACTTTTGTGTCGATAATACTTATTAATCAAGTAAGGATTCAAGGGACAATATGTATGCTTCTTTTGAGTATCTGGCATGTACTCATTCTTTACACGTCAATTCTAATCTCACTGAACTGTGTCATTCATGTCGTTTTCACATGCATAGAGGGGCAAACTATACGTAGTTATAGATAAATAAAAAGAAAAGGAAGCTTACAATGAGGAAAAGAGAAAAGATGATAGAAACGTCGTAAATATATGGATAGAGCAGACAAGAAAATGAACCAAGCAGCAAGTTTGGTATATTTTGGCCTGCGAATACTTCTCTCAAGTCTCAGCTTTATTCATATTTGTATTTCACTTTTTCTAGTATTCTCTTCTCTTTCCTTCCATTTTGTTGTCCACGAAATAAAGGCATACGATGCTATATATATAATAGCATACTTGGGATCCACATAACCCAATCACTTTTCTTTTGAACTGTACCCTCCTCTGTATCTCGAATTTTCAGATTCCTCCATCTCTCACTTTTCTTTTCATTGTTTTGTTTCTTTTTTATTTTTTCGTGTGAGTATCAGTGCAACTAGAGAGTTGTTAGATAGCCGAACTATGGTATATAATTCTGTGCGTAAATGTATTTAATATTACGTTGAATTTGGAGGTGACTGCGTGGCATGTGTTACGTAATATGAGTGTCTGTGGGTGGGTGTGATTTTTTTTTTTTGGGACTAAATGTTAATTGGTTGGTCTAGTTCAATTTAAATGTCTAACGTAGACATAAATTGACTGTGCCGTATCGTCATCAATTAATTGGTGAGTTTTGAACGGAGCAATTTAATTAAGTTTGATTGAATTTAATTTCTTGTTATGTTGGTGCGTTAATTTTTGTCTGTTATGTTATTACGATCGCTGTCATGTTTGGATTTGGTTTTTATCAAGTGGAATGTTTCTGTGGCCCAATAAAAAATGGCCCAGTGAATGGAAGGACCTGTTATCGTCCTTACATAATAATTAATTACATGGCTGCTTGTTAAGTGAATGGGATGTTTTGTTGAATGGCCACTGCTGATAGATGCTTGAATAGTTGAGTTTGAATTTAGCTACAAGATAATCGTGCATTTATTTTTTGCTCGAAACACAATCATGCATTACAGCAACAAAATATGTGATTGGAATAAATCTTTTATGGCCTTTTTCTTGATGTTTCTCTTTCTAGTGATTTAACTATTAAAGAAGAATTGATTTAAATTAAGCACGGATTCAGTGCTTCTATATAAATTATAGAAAACTATACTCCTCATAATCCATAGAAAGTATAATTTATCGGGGAAAAAAACATATACACTTCACATTATATATATTTAAGCTACTATTTTCTTATTAAATTAAAACATGTGAATTTTTGCATATTATTTATTCTATAATAATTTTTTTATTAATATTATTAACATTTTTATTTTTTTATTATTATGATTTTATAATTAACTTGTTTTGATTTATTTGATCAAAGGTGTGTTAAATATATAAAGTTGAGTGTCTAAATTTGCCCTCAATTTTTTTTTTTTTTAAGTGTGAGGAGTAGGCTTTACAATAACAGGTAATATCTTCCCTTATGTATTTAGAGCAAGCGGTAGATTTCTCCCAATTAAATTGATACTGTTTTAATTTCTATTTATAAATTACTTCTAACATATTTTATCAAAATCAAGAAAAATCTTAAAATTTCCTTAACCTAGTTTAAAAATTTAATAATTTATCAACTTTATCTTTGTTAAATATACATATTTTAATAACATATTATCTCTCTTCAACCTCCAATGAAGGGCAAAATGAGAAGATTTGTAATGAAAATTTAATAAAATAACTCATAAATAAGACAAAAAAACTTCTTTATTTATCTTATAAACAAGACCAAAAGAAGTTATACACAAGGATTAGTATCCAAACTCTCAAGCACTTACTTAAACCACAAAAAATCATGTCACTTGTGCCAATTTTAGTTGGCTTACTCCTAATTTATATTTAATTTTATACAATCACATCATGAGTGTTTGACTCTTTTTGATTTCATTTGTAAGTTACTTTTAACTTGTTTTACTCGAATTAAGAAAATATTTAAAATTTATTAACTCTTTTTAAAATTTAATAAAATTTTATCTAATTAACATCCAATGGAATGTAGAAGATAAAACTTGTAATAAAAAAAAAAGGATTGCATGACTCATATATAAAAATAAAAAAAAAATCTTCTTTCTATCTTATAAATAAAACAATAAGAGTAGTATCTAACAAATCGAGCAGGGAATTGTAATTTTCCTTTGATCTGGATCCTACCATCTGGGCGGGGAAAAAGTGCACTGTCTTAGTTGGTTCAAAATTGAATGCCTGGACAATGGAATAACTATTTTGAAGATTCATGTGAAAAATGAATTTTTGGCTTTTATGAAGCTGCCTGGTTTTTTAAAGCCCTGGGTCGGACGAGATTCGGTTGTGGAAGGATCGCGGATCCTCTCAAGTCTCGATACAAAGCATCTGTCACGCAAGTACGATGCCTCTGTTGACCAGGGTGTGATGGCGGACTATTGAAGTTGCATTCAATTATTGGAACGCAATAATGCTTTATAACGATGCAATGAGTGATCCCGACATGTTGGTGGGACTTGGGAGAATAACAGGACTAGTACCAAGTCTCGGTTTTATCAAAGATTCATCTGCACCCATGATTACTGAAATGAAAGCGACAATTAAAGTCCCTTCATTTCTTGATGTAACATTAATGAAATGAAGCCAGCAATAACAATTAATCCCACAATATTATTATTATGTTATGCAATACTTATATGAGTTATTTCCTCCTGGACAAAACAAAGTTATTTCCACTCAACTTATTCAAAATCGTCCTTCCTTCTTTCATGCCAAGAACCCTTAAGTGGATCCTCCGTTGGTTCTAACATAATTGTCACTTTTTTAAGGTTTTGTCTTTGTTGTGCAACAATTATTACTTTAATTTTTTAAGGATAATGTAATCATTAAGGATATTTAAAAAATCATTTCTTTTTTATCAAGAGCTAACTATTTATTATATTTTTAAATTTATATGTACGACTACAAAATAACATTATTTTTGAAATGGAGTAAGTATATAGCTTCTTTTTTTAAGTTAAGCTTTCTTGCGTATTGTTTAAAAAAGAATAAATCAACTATATTTTTTTAAAAAATTAATTTTTTAATCCTTCAACTTTTAACTCACTTGTAATTCAGTATTTCAATCATGACTCGTTGCGACTCAGTTCCTTAACTTTTGATTCACCTATAATTCGGTCCTTATTTTTTAATTTTTTTTAAAATTTCTTATCAAATAAGAGGGATAAAAAATATTCATATATTATTCTAAAATACCCTCCTCTTACTCATTGATGTGAGATATAAGCTAACATGAAAAAATAATAAAAGTTTAGTGACTAATTTGTAAGTGATTTAAAAGTTGAGGAACTGAGTTACATCGATTTATAGTTGAGAGACTGAGTTATATTCCCTCCGGTCTCATTTATAAGTCACATTCTATAAGGTTTATTTGGTCCCATTATAAGTCATGGTGCATCTTTTTAGGTAATATTTGAAAAAATATTTTTAAAATTATCTTTCATGCGAGAGAAAAGGTAACATGACATTACATTTTAGATTTATTATATAGAGGCATGTTTGAAATTTTAATTACTTTTATTCTTTGTACTTTTATTGTATTGGTATTGATGAGTTTGGTAGAAATGACTTATAAATAGGATCAGAAGGAGTAAGTAAATTAAAAGTTGAAGGATTAAAAGATTAATTTTTTTATATTTTTTTACAAAAGAATAAAATGTCAAATCAACTTTTTTGCTAGAAATAAAGGTTAGCTTAGTTCATGAGTTCAACATCATAAATCATAAAATATACAATCACGTATCTTTGAAATGTTTATGAAGTTGTTGTTGATAATAACAATCCTACACATTAGAGGTTCGAATTAGTTTAAAAAGAATGTGATAATATTATCTATTTTCTAGGACATCATGTGATGGAATCAAATAATATATGAGAATAGAATAAAAAAATAATAATCATGGTTTACTGTAAGCAAAACCACTTGCGGAGATTATGTTACATTTATGTTTGGTTACAATTTAAAAAAAGGTGATTATTAATTAATTATTTTTAAATTTTATAATATCTTTCTTGATTTTTATTTTGTAAAAATAATTTATTATTATAATTTTAAAATTTTATGATATATTTGCATATTTTCCTCTTTAAAACATCCACTCTTATCTACTACATTAGATTATTTTAAGAAGCTACTTAGTAATCTTATTTTTTTAATTTTTATTATTTTAAAAAGTTTAAATAAGTATAAATAAAAACAAACAAAATAGATTTAAAAAAATAATTTTTCATAAAATAATCTAAAATAAATGAGCCCATAATATAAGGAGAATAAAGTTAGGTCCTAAAAGAATGGATTAATAATAGTTAGATTTTTTATAAAACTTTTAAAAAAATAAATTATAAATATCAATTCAAACTGTTATAGAAAATTTTTTTATTATAATTTAAAGATTATATTTAATATTTAATTATTTATTTAAATCAATATTAATTTATTTTTTAAAAAATTTATTAAAAGCTTAATTAATATTAATTTAATATTTTAAAATTTAATTATCATTCTCCCAATTATATAACTTATAGATGTCACAAGTGCGAATTGAAGAACTCAAGACCCCACAAGTCTAGGATTTCGGTAAGGGCGTGTTAACCCAGACCTAAACTGCAGAAGACACGTTACCTCCATGTGATGCTTTCCTTGTTCTTTCAAACACCAATCATGCTCGTCACTATCAGCATACTCTTGCGATTTAAACGCCGAGTAAAACTGTGAAAATTATTCTCATGCAGTGAATGTCTGATG